GACATCTGGAACATTGAGAATTAATGAGAATAAAAACAAGATATATAAAGAACAGGTTGAACCATTACAGAATAAAAATGTTATTAAAGACAAGTGTACTATCGAGAAAATTAATTTTAGGAACTTAGAGAAAACTAATGAAGTATCCAGACTGTATGTGCAGTCTTCCAAAAAGTCATTCCATAATTTGGATGGTGTTCAAGTCTCGAGCAATACATCGAACAATGAAGGATCTTTAGAAACCCAATTATCGAGTAAATCTGACTTCCATCAAGATAAAAGGAATGTTACAACTAAAGATGTCAATGATAAATCTGCAAACGAAAATCAGCAGGTACGGACATGTCCGTAAACTTGTTTACAAGATTGAGTAAAGAAACAATTGTATGAATGTTATTAGAACAAGAAGACATAAATCATTATTAATTTTAGTTGATTACGTTTAATGTACAAAGTGAGTGATCTTTTTCCAGGCAAATAGTCCATAGATTATTCATGTACTTTTTCATGTCAATTTTCCTTAATTTTTTCTTTTTTTCTTTTTTATTTTCTACCTAGATTTTTTTTGTTTCTTTCTCCTTTTTCGACAAATCAGCGTTACTAAAATAACTTTGCAGTTTTAAGTTTAATCATCATTCATACTCTACGAAGCATTCTGGTTGTTATACGCATTCGACGACGCATTAATAAATCGTGAAATAAGTTGTCAAATGTTAAACTATTAAATAACAAATTTATTTACATAAATTAAAACTTTTTTTCTTAAAATAATTTTTATGTATGTAATATTGGATTATAGAAAAAAAAAAAAAAAAAAAAAAACCGAAAAAAAAACGAAAAAAAAAATCTACTTTTAGGATATAAGAGAGAGAAAGTTTTTCTCTTAATTTTTAACGTTATCATCGCGAAGTGAAACGTGAACGGACATTTTGATTATATATAAGTAACTCGGACCATAAACATTTGCCTATAGTCGCAATTAACGTCCTTTTTGTTTTTCTTTTATGTTACAATCTTATAAACAAATGCTTCTTATTTCTTCTCTCCATATCTCTTTTGTTTGTTTTATATATTTGTGTAAAAAAAAAAAAAAAAAAAAAAAAGAAAGAAAAAAACAAGATGAAAAGATCGAATAGAATTATAAAGAGTAATATAAAACGATATATAATTTGTTTATTTTTACAAAATATTCGTTTTAAAATTTCTTTGGACGATATCAAAAGAAATTAATTTTATATAAATTTAAATTTAATAATAAAATCACACATACACACACACACACACACACACATACACATTATTCGCGGTGAAGCGTATATATATATATATATATATTGGCTGTGTCTGTAGAATAATAATAATAATAATAATAATAATAATAATAATAATAACAGGCAAAAGGGAATAAAAATAAATTCTAAGTACGTGCCTGAAATATTGAAAACATTTATCATTATCATCATTATCGTCATCATAATCATCATCATCATCATCATCATCAAGGGCACGATTAAAATATTTATATTGAAATTATACTTTGTGAAAGACTGATTATTAAATTTGGGCTTTACTATGTCTTTCAATGTAAGAAGATTAAAAAATATAAATAAGAGAGAATCTCAAGATATAAATTTATTATTGTGCTCACGTGATTCAGCCCTAAATTTAAATTTCATACCAAAACTGAATCTAGAAAATGACAAGAGGTTCGATATTAATAAATAATAATAAATAGTTATGTGTAAATGAAATTTTATTTTTTTTCGAAATCTATATTAATTACAAATATATTGGAAAGAACACGTGGGACTCATAAATTACTTATCTTTAAATATAGTTTTTCGAAATCAATGTTCATAACAAAGCAAGAAATTGTTGTCTTTTTGTTTTTTTTTTTTTTTTTTTATTTATCAATGCTCATGAGTTCATTATAATATTACAATATTATTATATCTTAGCGGACATTACCTGTTGCCAAGTATTACTCGTGTTTGTTTTAGATAATGCCAAAGTAGCAGACACTGTAACTCGGATATACCATCTTGGAGATCAACTTGGAAATAATAATTCAGTGCAGAAACAATAACTAAGGAAATTCATTGAGATTTGTATTCTTCTACTTTGAAAGAGATAATATGAAGAATCAATTGTTTGGAATATAAATCAAGACGAAGAAACTAATTTCAATCTAGAATCCTTGAAATCATGGATTGGATTGGATTCTCTGCGGCTTTAAAATAATGAAACTTTTAGTGCGATCAAACTTATCGTTCCATAAGTCTTATTTATTTATTATTTGTAGTACTATTAATGAAAAGTCCTTTGTGCATTTCTTTAATGAATCGGTTTTACAAAGCTGTCAAAGGGGAATTAAGCTTGTGTAGCAGTATTTCCTCCATCATTTGTTATATATATATATATATATATATATATATATATATATATATGTATATATATATAACTTGATATAAGAATATTAGAAAATTGATAATATAATATTATTCGTTATCACGAATCAGTTTTAGAATAGAATTAAAAAAAGTATGAATGAATGACAAAAGAAGGAAAAAAATAAATGAAAAGGAAAGAGAATGAGGCGATAGGTATATAAGTCATTTGAAATATCTTGTACAGGTAGAGATTTATTTCTGCTTCTTATCTAGTCTGTCTAATTAACTCAATACTCCGAGACAATGAGTTGTATATGTACTATATACGATGCTAAGATTTTTCTTGCTATACTATATTCGTTATATTTCTTTTTTCTTCCTCTCTCTTTTTTTTCTCTCTCTCTCTCTCTCTCTTTCTCTCTTTCTCTATCTATCTCTATCTCTATCTCTATTTCTATTTCTATTTCTTGATAAATATAATATTTTGTGTAGGATACATTTAATGTATTTTATGAAAGAAGAAAGAAAAAAAGAAAAAAAACATATTTCAAGGGATATTTTTCTTGGTAAATAGTAACATTCTCATATTATGAGAGAATAATATAACTCGCGATGGAAATATTTATCATGAAAATTCGAGTCCTTCAATGGTATTTGATATCATTATAGAGAAACAAGTTTACATATAAGTGTGAAATTATATATATATATATATATATATATATATATATATATATATATATATATATATATATCACATAGATTCGAATGTACACAAATACAAAACATAATGAGTTTAATCATTATGTATGTATAGTGTTATTAAATAGAACGCGATAAAGAAGTAGCACAAATCGACTCCGCGAATGCATATGCACTTTTACATACATACATACATGTTAATTTTGAGTGCAGTATATACATAGTATGGCGTAATCTCTAATGTTTGTTAAGAAACATGCAAAAGAAAAAAAAACGACAAAAGTACTGTATATGAAGAAAAAGAAAGACAAAGAATAAAAACGTCGCTTTTAATTATTTTTTATTTTCTTTTATACGATCATACACACTTTGTACTTTTACATTGAAAAAAAAAAAAAAAAAAAAAAGAAAGAAAAGATAATTGATACAACATAATAGATATAATACACATGTAAGATTCTACTTATATATCTTATATATTTTGTGACATCAGGATACATGTTTCTGTTTACATTTTTCCATAAATCAATTTTGATCGTTCACGGCTCTTATTATTTGTTTCTTTATTTTTTTTTCTTTTCTTTTGCACAGGCAGTGCCCAAAAATACGAAGTTGAAAAGTTTCAATTCAATACAATACATAAAGATTTGATGTTTTACATACATAGATGAACTTCGTAATCAGTACCAAATATCATTAGAAATGTTAATGTGTTTCTAAATTTTCTTAGAATCTCTTAGATTCCTTTTAATCCTTTTTTAAATCGATTCCATCGACAATATATATCAGACAATTGTTATTCTTAATATCATTACAAAATCACATAGGTATTATATGTGAATTTCGTCAATATAATAATTATTATTAACAACAACAAGATGATGATCATCCTGAGAAATTTTTTTAGCCAAGAAATTTGATTAAATTGATTAAACCTTTCACATAAATCTTATTATTATTATTATTATTTTTATTATTATTATTATTATTATTATTATTATTATTATTATCATTATCATTATCATTATCATTATCATTATCATTATCATTATTATTATTACATTATTATTTTGCCGATTAAGAAGTTTTCTTATTTCTTATTATACAAATCTGATTATTTTTCTCCTATTTTTTTAAATTGTTTTTTTTTTCTTTAAATACAAATTGTTTTTTCTCTTTTCATAGTTCATTTCCGAGTCTAAAATTTCTTAATCATTTTTCTCATCATTTATCTCACATCTGGCATGATTTTTAACGCATAAATTCTTTTAACAAATTTTTTTTTTAACATACATATTTTCTTCTCTCTTTTAATGAATCATTTCAAAATTTAGAATTTCTTAATTATTATCCATTCCATATCGTGCATGATATTTAACATAGATAGATTTTTTAACAAATTTTTTTTCAACATACAAATTTTCTTTTCTCTTTTTATGGATCATTTCAAAGTATAGAATTTCTTCATAAATATTTATCTCACATCGTGTGTGATATTTGTTTATACAGATACAATTTATTTTTTGTTATATAAATCGTATATATATATATATATTTTTCCTGATATTTCTTCCGACTATATATGTAATTTATATATACATACATATATATATATATATATATATATATATATATATATATATATACACATACATATTATTTTGTGGCTCATAGCACAAGCACTTTCAATTTATAAGTAACTTAATAAAATCTCAAATTCGATGCCTTGGCAGTGAGGATTTCGAGCGATGCTTACAAGCGATAATAATACGTATGCGAAAAAATTGACGTGTTTTTTATTTATTCTTTTCTTTCCTTTTTTTTTTAAATAATTTGTTACATATATCTATATATATGTATTACTTTTTGTTTTTGTGAAAATTTGTAGGGGTACATCAAGGGGGTTTGGGGTACGGGGTAAGATAAGAGGAGAACGCATGTTGACCTGCAACAATTTTCTCCTGATATATATAATCTTCATAAAATTCCTTCTCTCTCTCTCTCTCTCGCTCTCTCTCTCTCTCTCTCTCTCTCTCTTTCTCTCTCTCTTTTTCTCTTTGTAACGAATAACAGAGAAGTATTTTAGAAATAATTTCGCGGTACAAAGAGCGCGGCGACACATCATCTTCATGCAATGTACGTACGGGCGTGTGCGTGCATATTTTGTATTATTATTTTTCTTTCTATTACTATTTCATTATTATTATTATTATTATTATTATTATTATTATTATTATTATTATTATTATTATTATTATTATTATTATTATTATTATTATTATTATTATTATTATTATTATTAGTAATATTAAATATTATATCTAACGTTTTCGTGTTAAATATTTCTAAGAACATTTTTTTTGGGGGAGACCAAGGGGGTAGGGGAAGGTCTGGGCGCCAGCACCCTCTAACCTTCTGTGCGCTAATGCGCTTTTTAACGCGCATATATTTGGCTAAAATAGTACATTTATGTATATGTAAGTATACGTCAATATGTATATATCTATAACATATACATATGTAATGTAACAAATATATATATATATATATATGTATGTATATATTTATATTTGTTATGTTCTTTTTTATTTTTGTTTTTGTTTTGTTTTCTTATTTTTTCCCTTAATATTCTTCATGTAGAGAAAAAGAGAGAGAGAGAGAATTCGTTCCGTCACAACAATACCACTAATTCAATAATGCTCCAAGAAAATGTTAATTATTATTATTATTATTAATATTTATACTGCATCACTGTAAATTCTTGTTTATTCCGTGTGTATGTGTGTGTTTGTATTTAATGATGGTTATAGAAAAAGATTGAACACTGAGTCAAGTGGTTTGTAAGTTCGTTAAGTAGTTCGGTTATCTAAAGTTTTAATAATGGATACGTATTTATTGAAAGTGATCAAAAAAAAAAAAAAGAGAAGAAAAAGAAAAAAATATGAAATATTTAAAAAAAAATAAACAAAAAATGATATATCCCTCAGATATTAGAATCCGTCTATCTCTTGTGATTTTGCCCTAACAATTTATATATATATATAATAATTTATATATATATATAATAATTTATATATATATATATATATATATCCTTATTCATCCACTAATTCCCAAAGCATAAGGGCAGCATCGGTTCCACCAACAGTAACAATATTTCGATCATTATACAAAAATCTAGCACAAGCTACCAACGAGCTGTAAACCTTTTCTTCTACATATTCCGCTTTTGCGCTGGTGCATGGATATCTAAAAAGTCTTAAATAACCTTCGGCGTCTCCGCTGACAAGCATATCGTGCGCTGCTGATCTACAGGCTGTGGTGAGAACCGTTGTCAATGGATAATAACGATTATTCCACATACCTGTTGAAATTTAAAAAAATAATAAATAGTTTATCGTTCTTACATAAAAGGATAATATATATCTCTCATTATATACAGGATGGGTCTTCCAAATATAAGCAAAAAATTTTTAGATGATATTACAAATTTTTGTTTTTATATTATAGAACTACATGTCTAGAATAATTGATTTTTAAAATCACTTAAGGACTTTTGATTCGCTCCTTATATTATATATAGACAAAGAGAGAGAGAAAGAGAGAGAATTCAGATCATATGTTAAAAATAATTACCTGAGACCATGTATCCTACTGTACAATTGTGTGTATGCCATTTAACATCTTTCATAACTAATGGACTTTTTTCAGATGAAAGTGCTTTTACATCCCCTATATAAACACATACACGCATATACATATATATATATATATATATATATATATATATATATATATATATATATATACATATACATATATATATATATATATATATACATATAAATATAGTATATAATTAAAAAATGTAATAATATTTTTAAATTGAAGAAATAACTCACAAAAAACAAGATCATAGTCCTGTGTCACCGTTTGCAAAAATCTATTATCAGAACTCCAATCGAGTTGTACCAAAGGTTGTGTTCCACGTATCTTGTTACTTTTTTTGTAAGAAAAACCGTCCCTTGATACTCGAAAGAGATATATACTACCATTTTGTGAACCCATCGCAACGGTTTCAGCGGCTAAAATAACAATAATAAAGGGTTAAGAGAAATTAACTTATTGAAGCTTAGAATATAATTTAGTAAAAGAATTTCATACTTGGATTATATCCAATACATGATAAAGGCGATCCGCAAACTCTTAAAGTTGCTACAGCAGCACCTGTATCAGCTGCTAAGACAAGCAAATGTCCATCAGATGAACCTGCAGCCAAAGCTACACCAAAAGGATGAAATGCTACACAAATGCATTCGAAGCCAACCTGAAAGTATATATGATTTTGTAAGAGACAATCGCATTTGAAACCATTTGTTGATATCAGCTGTAATAAACAATATTACCTGAGTTGTCCATAACAATTTATGTCTTCGCCAAAGTGCAATATTTTTATCATGACCTGCTGTGGCAAAAACTTCATCATCCGGATGAACAGCAAGGCCCCACAACTGTCTACCATGACCAAAAACCACTTGATTGAATCTTCTTTGTAAAGATCCCTCCAATATAATATTTTTCGTCGTTCCAACGTAAATATTGCCATCGTTTCTTCCTGGTCGTTGAGGATAAATACTACGAACTCCTCCAGCTGCTTCTGGTAACTTGGTTTATACATCAAAATATAAACAGTTTTATTTTTAATTAGAGACGATACTATTTGTGTATATGATTTGACTTTAATATTAAGTTTACCTTAGTGTCGGTAATACGTTTGTAATTCTGTAGAGAGTCCCAAGCCGCAATTTTGCGATCTTTTTCACCACCAGACAGCAGTGTACCTTCGGACAACATTACCAGAGAACTGATACCTTTGTTATGAGCTTCGAATTCCATTCTAACGAAGTAAGCACCATCTGCATCAACCGAGTATACCGTAATAAATCCATCGCTATCAGCCGTAATAACGTCACCGTCTTGTTCGAATTGAATACTCGTCACATGTGTACGCGATGGCTTGAAAAATATAATTGAATTTTACAATTATGAATATTCTGGAATTAGTTACGCTTGTAATGAGTTGTGACAATTTTTCTTACAGGTTTAATAATATCAGTCCGTTCAAAGAAACCGTCTTTCCGTCGATTCCAAAATGTTAAATGTCCACGTCCATGCGTTATCAATAAGTTATCGTCCAATGGATGAAAAGCTGCACCTGTTAGATCTTCTTGCATAGTCTATTAATAATAAAAAAAAAATTGAGATCAAAATATTCATTCGGAATAAATATTATTTATTTAGATAAGATTTACTGACCGCGACTTTACCCAATAAGTGACCCCATTGCCATTGCCATACCGAGAGAATGGCTTCTCTTCCAGCATCAACAGCAAGTACATAGCTACCACCGTTCTATTAATAAACAATAATTAATAGATAATTAATATAATATAGTATGTTTTTTTTCTATATACGTTTATATATATATTACATATATATAATGTATATACCAATTGAGAGAAAGCCAATGCTGATACTCCTATTTGAAACTCGGTCATTCCAAAAACATAAAGAGTTAAAAGAGTTTCCGTCGACCAAATACGAACATGAGGTTGAGCTTTTCGATGTCTGCCAGCTCTTTGACCAGATGCTACGAGTTCTCTGCTAGGATGTATCTGTAAAATATTATCGTACCAGAATCAATTCAAGTACAATTAATTATTGCATATGTCAATCGAGAATGAAACGATGAAATGATCTTATCGCTATGATAAACTTACTTCCATGCAAGTAATATCCTCGGTATGACCAATGTAATGTCTTTGTGCATTTTCTTCTCTATCAAAGAGAACTGCAACTGCAGCAACATAATACAATAATTCTCCACTTGGTAACACCCATAGATTTCTACGGGTATCAGTACCACGGTAACCGTAGACCCATTCTAATTGTAATTTTTTATCTGGCGGAGAATTATCAACTGGTGGCAAACGTGATGGCGGATAAAATGATCTTCTAAGACCTCTGATAGTTACTCTAACGGGTTCGTCTCTTAAAACCTCTACGACACTGTAATCTGGATCAGAAAAAGATAAGAAAAATATTCATATATATAATATATAATAATTAAATCAAACAAAATTGTTTATAGAGATATTTGAATGAAATTTTTTTTTGAAAATTATTCTTATACCATTAACTCGAACAACTTCGGAATCCGGTGCGTAAAGTGCTCGAGGTCTACTTTTACTTCGAGCTCGTCTCTGACGGCCAAGATCTTCTACCAATGTTGGTGGCCCACGTGATCTTGATCTTCTAGTTGGAGAGGCTGTTATAGTACCAGATATACCCATACTAGAGCCAGTGCCCAAATAAAATGTATCTATATCGGCGAACTCATTTCTCAATTGCGAGAAACTTCTTACCTGTTTTTTAACACGTTAAAATGATAGTGATTAATTTTTGTCTTATCTTGTCTTGTCTTGTCTTGTTTTGTCTTGTCTTGTTTTGTCTTGTCTTGTCTTGTCTTGTCTTGTCTTGTTTTGTCTTGTCTTGTCTTGTCTTGTCTTGTCTTGTCTTGTCTTGTCTTGTCTTGTCTTGTCTTGTCTTGTCTTGTCTTGACTTCTCTCTTGGAGATAGATGTTCAATGATAAATATATTAAGTGCATTATTATATATGCTCTAAGATAAAGTTTTAACAATATGTAATACACAATTGAGTATAGATTAACCTAACGATTGTTCTCGTAGAAGAAAATTGGTCAATTTGAAATTCATATATGATCGTGACCTGGAAAGATGAATCTCTGACCTTTTTCCATAGCATATCTAATCCAACTTCTTGATCAACTTTTTAACTTATAACCGTGTTATATATTCATGGACTAAAACTAAACAGAAAGTAAACCTCTAACATTTTACTGGAAAAGTGTAATTACGATATCGAAACTGTATCGTATTTATTAGCAAAACTCTTCATAAAAATTATTTATTTAATACATTATATTTATTTACGTCTGGATTAATTCTGAATAAAATATTTATTTAATAACGTTAATTATATAAATTCGATTATTAATTTAATATAGATCAAATATAAAAGACTCTTAGAAACTATATAGAAAATATTACAATAACATATATGTATGGGAATGAAATAAAGTAGTTATTAAGAAGTGTCATTTAGAGTGAAGATTACAATTTAAACGATAGATACGATTTCAAGAAAGTGACCCTACTAATATATATCGTCACGTTTCACTCCGATGTATGTACATAAACCAGTTTCCACATAGAACATGCATATTTATGTGGAGAAACATTATTCAAACTGATTTTATAAGTACGATGTCGGGAGCCAATGTGTGTTGTCTTTCTCATTTGCATAACTCGTCAATAAACTTTCTTGTCTCATCTACGTTCTTGTCTAACTTGAATATATCGATCAATAAATGATAATAATCTAAATAGATTAGATATACATGAATCTATCTATATGTATACATGTATGCCAAAGTGTGTCTCATCTTATCATATTTGACTATAATCATAGGAGAAATAAATAATGATTATTACCTCTTGACCCGAAACAGTGAACATCCTTTTAGCTCCATTCATTTTTAAAACTTGACCAAGATCCTCTAATACTTCTTCGAACGGTTGAGAAGTTCGAAGATTTAGTAGAACACGGCACTGTAAATATATAAATATTTATACATGTCTGTATATGTAGATATTAGGTGTTTCGTAACATGTTGGTCTCACTTTATCGATGGACAGGAGATATTGAAACAATAAAAAAGTTGTATCTCATTTCTACGTTAGACTGACTTGTTTATTAAATTTGATAAAATGGTTAAATAGATTCATATAAATTTTTTTCATTGATTTAATATCATCTAAATCTTTTCAGTTCCTACTGATGAAGGTAGGTCTCACATATTACGAAACATCGTAAATATATTCATCATATTAGACTGATAAGATTCTTTGTCTCTCTTTCTCACCTGAACAGTATGATCATGATTATTTACAATTCGGATGACACGACCTGATGAAGGTTTACCACCTCCTGGTGGTGGTGCTTCTTCAGTAATGGAAGCCTTTCTACTTAGGCTAGCTACTGCTCCTGGTCTACTTTGCCAACCTCCGGTTCCTCCTGTCCCGCTACCACTAACACCACCTCTGCTACCACCGCTAGTTGGTGTCGTGTACCAATTATTACTTTTCTTTCCATAGCTCGCCGGCTTTAAAATGATAAACATTAATTATTCTATGAATAGATTTATCAGTGAAGAAATTAATAAATATTTTAAATTATACGATTTAAATCTATGTGTGTTTGAACAAAATTCTATATAAAATTATGTATCTATATAAGTATGTACGTTGTATCGAATACTTATATTGCTATACATAATGCAATAATATATTTTTTTTTCTTGCAAATCAATCGAATCAAATTTCAACAAATATACATATATATTTATTTGTAGAATCAACAGAGTAGCAATAATATCTTTTTTAGTATTCATAACTTTAAATTAAAAAAAAAAAAAAAAAAAAAAAAAAAAAAGAGGAAAACAAATATATTATCTAAAATATGTATCTATGTATGATCATGGTACCGATATAATATAATAATATTTCTTTCTTTTTTTTCTTTTTCTTTTTTTTAGATTAAACAAATCAGATTTCATTTGATATTTCGAATATTCGAATATTTTTTCTTTTTATAAGACACCTTTAAATTAAAAATATAATAATATTTGTTTTTTTCATTTTTTTTTTTTTAAATTTTTTTTAATCAAATCAATATCGAATCGTTAGCACCTGCAGCATATCGGCCGGCAGCGAAATAACTTCGAAGGAATTACTCATCAACACGACAAAACTGGTGCTGCTTGTACAAAAGTAATCAAGAGGATATTCGCGAACGGAATCGCTATAGGAATCGTTCGCGTCCTCGTCGTCGGGGTCGTAGTCCGGCTCCAGATCGGAACGCAATGAGGAACTTTCCGACTCAATGATGATGAAATCACGAATAATTATTTCTTCGAGAAGTTAAGCACACTAAATTAATTTTCTCTATGTGGACGATTTTACGAAACACTTTACACTGTACAATTTGTCACGATCACGATCACATGATTTATATATTATTATTATTATACTTTTTTCTTCGTTCTCTCTCGTCTTCGTGACCCGCACGATACTTTGATTCTTATCTCTGTCCTTATACGTTGCTATGAAAATTTGAAAAAAAAAAAAAACAGAAACAAACACAAAAAGAAAAACAGAAAACGAAATCGTGCGAAATCTGAATACGAAAATACGAAGAAACAAAAACGACAATCGAGATCAATCAAATCGAATTTATAATAATTAGTTTAGATTTGTGTTGTTTTTTTTTTTGTAAAAAAAAAAAAAAAAAAAAAAAGATCCCTTTGTAGTATTTTGTAGGGAATATATAAAATGGGTAAAAAGTTAAGAAAAATTTCTCTCTTTTGTCACGAGGTGTAGCCGTAACTGTGTTCGATGAACGACTGGAAGTGTCGGATGTGTACGGCCCCATCAAGGTGGAGAACCAACTCGTAGGAACTGCAACGTTCCCTACCCCCCATTTTGCTATATACCAAGCCACTGGCTCAAGGCCAGCCAGGCAGCCACCCTCTCCGGGTGTGGCTTCAACTGAAATTAGGTTCGATACCACGAGAACGATACATGCAAATTCGTAATATCAATATTTTTCGTCCTCGAGTCCATCTATTAATCGCTAACGTAGTAGACATATGCATGTACTACAATATACATATATATTTCTTGTGTCCCCAATTAAAATTTTATTTTTACATCGATTGGATAGATGATTATTATAATTAATTATGTATATATATATATATATATATATATATATATATATATATACATATATATTCAGATATATTTGATAGGAAGAATTTATGACGAATTAATTTAGCTTTCTTTATTTTTTTTCTTTTTAATCAAGATTATATTAAAATTTCATTTTATTTTATTATTCTTTGAAATAAAATTTTATTAATTCAACATATAAAATATATTAATTCTGTTTTATTTTAATTGGTCTTTTTGGAAACAAATAAAAAGCATTCACTTGCAAATAAATTGAATATTTAAAATCTGCCGCAGTTCTTCTTACTTTTGAAATGGGTCTGTGTATGTGTGTGTTGGAACACACATAATTACAATAAAACGGTCATGCTATATTTTGTCGCATAATGACGCATGCGCTATAGGATTGAATGGACATGTAATAATGTTCTAACGAGAAACTCTTCCATAGATTTATGTTTCAGGAAATTGGAAAGATAACGAATATATATATGTATGTATGTATATATGTATATATGTATATATCATGAAGAATGTGAACGAATTTTATATATACATATGTGAACGAGTTTATATATATATATGAATAAATTATTGAAAAAATAAATCTTTTTTATCTTTTTTACATATTACAAAAATATAATAAAATTATCAAAGTTATTTAATATTTTCAATCGTATCAATATTGGGATGGATCATAGTGACATTAATGAAAAAAATATAGTGTATCGTTTTCCGGAGACATCAATGCCGGATATGTAACGATTTCAAGTCAATGTTGAATTTACAGAGATCGAGTACAGAATGGGCTAAAAATTTCTATATGAATGAGAAGTTTTTAAACGATTTTATAATATAAATCAATAACTCTTTATCAAGATTCATTATAATTATAATTAGATTTACGGTTTTACAAATTGGACTTGTAGTTATACTATATGAAAAATAATAAAAAAAAAAAAAAAAAAAAAATAAAAGAAAAAAGTTTACCCGGAAAAGTCTTGATAATTGATTTTTAAAATAACCTGAGTATTATCGGTCCATATAAAAATCCATTCTTTATGATAATATAACACTATACAAATTAATCGTCAAATCTTAAATACATAATCATGTATCATACGTACATAAACGTATGTATATTATAAAAAAAAAATTATTACATAATAAATGACAGTATGTGTATATATGTAGAATGAAATTGAAATTAAATCGATAGACATTAAAACAATGAAAGAATAGTTAAATCCGATCGTAGTACAGTAACAGGCAAAGTGCCTCCTACGTATTGATCCCTTGCGTTGACCAACGGTCAATGAGATACCGTTCTCTCCTACCCTACTCAAGAACCTCAGTTACCTACTTCTTAGAAGTTCCTTTTACTTTAAAGAAAAGAGAGAAAATAAAAAGTTTACGTTCTGTTATTAACCATTAATGATAATAATAATAATAATAATAGTAATAATAATAATAGGAATAATAATAATAATAACAGCAACAACAACAAGGTTGATTCTTAAAAGAGAGAAAAAGAAAGACAGAGAGAGAAAAAGAGAGAGAGAGAGAGAGAGAGAGAGAGAGAGAGAGAGAGAGAGAGAACGAAGTGGAAGTATGTAAATATAATTTTGATTAATTTTATTGATCCATTTATTAGGATCTATTGATTTATAATAATCAATATTGTAACAATCTGATTTAATAATTTTAATCAAAATTAATATTATTAATAATTTATTTTTAAATATAATATGGATTGATTTTATCGATCAATTTCCTTGGATCTATAAATTTCTAATGATCAATTTGTAATAATTTAAATCTGTTAATTAATTGTTCATGTTCTTCATTTTCTTTTTTTTTTTTTCAAAAATATAATTCCAATTGATTTAATTGATCGATCTTATTGATTAATTTTCGTCGATCTATATATTTATATCTAGATCAAAATTTCGTATTCCAATGGAATATTAAAAAATATAATGTTCTTATTAAAGGATAAAAGAAACCGCACACACTATGATCGCTTATATTGGGATATTATCCTAGCGATTACAAGAGTACGAAGGAAGGGATCAAAGGAAAGAGGGTGGAACAGAAAAAGAAACTTACTGCGCAAGTTCGTAAGCTCTTAACCAATCATGTACACTTTCTCCTTCCGATTCCTCCACTGTCGGGGGATTACAACCCACCTTACGATCCCAACAACACATACTAGTAAGTATATAACTTCACTCCCCACTTCTTCGACATAGATTTACTTCCTACATTTAACTACGAGATCTCTCATTTTACCACGTGCATTTAATACGTTATCATGAATATGGTACATAATATGAAATGCCTTTAGTATATATCTATTATTATTATTATTATTATTATTATTATTATTATTATTATTATTATTATTATTATTATTGTGATTCTTATGGTTAGGTAATTTTATTTAATCTAAAGAAATTATGAAACATTTTTATAATAAAATAGGTTGATAATATTTTTGATAATGATATATATGTTACAGTCGAGAAATCGATCGTAGAACTTGCTCTCATTCATCGGGATAATTAATTAAAAACACACCCTAACTTTGGACTGGGGGATAAGGGTCGATTCTGATTCAGCATAAATCACTTTCTTAACGATCAATTCTTCTTAACGCTAATAAATATAGGTAATATGTCTGTCCAATTCTATGTAAATATATCTAGTTAGATTGATATTTTCTCATAATCATGATAAACACGATAAGACGATTAACCTAATTTTCTTCGTTTTACTCTAGTTATATATATATATATATATATATATATATATATATATATATATATCAAGCTCTACGCGGTTATTGGTTGAACTCGGATAGACAGAAAGTTGGTTAAGGATACATTATGGAAATCTTGGTGTGGCAGTTTTATGAGAAAAAAAATATATGGGTCGCAGCTAAGGACTGTGGAGGGAGAAAAAGAAAAGAAAAAAATTTTTCTCACCCCGCTAATGCCACACATCCAGAGTTATGGATCTTTTAACAAACAACTAATCTCATCGACTTATTCGACCGAAAGCAATCGGCATGCAAAGTCGACGTTGAAAAGAATTGGACAATCCTTGCATAAAGCTTTCTTTTTGTGAGCCACTTTAGCGGATTAAGCTTTGACCTGACACACACATACATACACACACAAGATAAAGAGAAAGAGAATCTTACATTTACGTTGATCGAATTTTTAGATCATATATGTACGTTTGGACTCTAGGTTAAGAGAATCAGTAACGATCTACGATATACAATCGAGCGTGTCCTAGTCACACCTTAAAAAGTCTAGGAAATAGGATAGACTACTCATCCTTGACTAAATCATCCCCTTTCACACCCATGTAAACATAACGAATGCTATCTAATAGTTATTGACAGATAGGTAGGTAGATAGATAGATAGATAAGGAGGCGAAATTTAAAAAAAAGTCTTGAATTATAACTTGCTCTAATTCGATTAGGGTTAAACGTATAACGAATAAATTACGTTCTTTCTTACTTATTCATTTTATTAAGCCTGCAGATAGATCGTTAAGCCCTAAATACATACATACATACATACATACATACATACATACATACATACATACATACATACATACATATATAGATGTATATGTGTGTATATACAGTGTTAAGTAGAGATTGTGATAAGGTGTTTCTAGCAACGATTACGCACACACCATGCTCATATAACAAGGATCATGAATATTCAAATAATACGTGTCCGGCTTTGTTTTAATAACGATGAATATTTTATTTTCATCTTATAATCGAATCCCCTCTTATTACTATATGGGTGGTGCCTCTTTTTATCGTTCAAAAAATTATTTCGTCCCTTTTTCGAGGTCATTGCCCGAATCACGATTATATCTAACATAATCTGTGTACACGCGATTTCTCTCTTTTTTTTTCTTGCATTGCGTTTAAGTATTACGATAACGATCCATTTTTTGCAGGCGAAGAAAAGAAAATAAACGGACCAAAAGGTTTTCTTTTTTCGTTCGCATGAAAGCGTGTGAGTTGATATTTATTTTTAAATAGAAGTCTCATCGAATCAATGGACCACACCCAAAACGCTTAATAATAACAAGGGAGTTATATATGTGTTTTCGTGTGGAATAGTTGAAAAAAAATGTTGGAAAAATTGTTTAACAATGACTGACCTTGAACGTTTTATAGCTTGACACGACATAAGAAGCTCCATCTTCTAATTCGTCCAAATTAACTTTCCGATCGCCGTCCATCGAGAATATGTAACGTGCTCCCCTAGGTAAATCCAAACGAAGAGATAATCTATCCAATAGGGCTTCCAGTGATCCGATATCGCGCCTTGGTTTGAATCTACGATTTAAATGGATTGTTGGATGATTAATCATTATCGAGTGATGTTCGTTAAATCGTTTAACATTGAATAACGTTAGGATAAGATTTAAAAGGGATATATAATGGATTAGACAAAATATTAGAAATCAATTTTGGACCAGTTAATAGGAACTGAAAACTACCATCAGGTATTGCAGAGTACACAGGTGTGTATCCTTGAAATGTCAGGCAAAGGGATTCATTCATACATGTGACTCAAGGTCGTAGAGGTGGATGCGCCACCTGCGGCTCACGATTGAATCTTCGCGTAAATAAATAGTAGAAAAAAATCACATATAAATATAGAGGTAGATAGACGATTAGATGAGACAGAGGTAAAAAAGAAAAAGAAAAAAAGAAAAAAGAAAAAAGAAAAAGAAAAAGAAAAGAAGACAGAACTGAAACAAAAATAAAATAGCACGTACCTGAATTCAACCCCAGGAAAATAGGGATCGCCATTTTTGTAAAAAGTAACACGTCTAGCTCTCCAATAACCGAGATTGTTGTATCTCGCTAAAGCCGGATCGTGTCGGCTCTTTGGCCTCTGCTCCCGCTGCTCCGGAGGCGGCATGCGGGGACTGGAGGGTCTGCTTTGCCTCCAGAAGCCACCCATGCCGCCTCCACCCCCACTTTCGCCTAACGAAAGCCCACCAACGCCAGCCGTCTTCTGCGCCGTGAAATCTCCACCCTTTCCATTGCCGTTCTCCTGCTGCTTTTCTCTTTCCTCTTCCTCCTCCTCGCCCCTTTCACTCTCCTCATCCTCTTCTTCTTCCTCCTCCTCCACCTCTTCATCCTCCTCATCCTCCTCTTCTAACATCCCCTCTATCTCCTCCACTTCATTCTCATTCCCCATTTTGCTACCACTTCCTACACCACCTCCTACAACACCTCCACCTCCTCCTTCGACTTCGTCCTCGTCGCTGCAAGCGCCTCCATCCGGCATCTTCGGCGACGACATCGTCTTCGTCGTCATCGTTGTCATCGTCGTCGTCGTCGCCGTCGCTGCCACCGTCGCCGGCTTCACCGCCCCCGTCGTCGTCGTCGTCGTCGCCGTCGTCGTCGGTGATCTACTTGCACCGGCAGGTGCCGCTACTGATATCGCTACTGATTCATCGAAGCTCACCGTCTCTTGTTGTTCTTCCTTTTTCATCCCGTTTTTTCTAACAAAATTTAACAGACGTTTTCTTCTCACTCGATTTCTTGGAGTTCCTTCAAATTATAAAAAATCTTTTAATTATATATATATATTTATATACACAATATTCGCAAAAAAATAGTTGGAACTTTGAAATGAAATTTGAATCTGAATATTTTTTCACTTTCTGGATAACTTCGGATCATTAAACTATCCAAGACCTCAAGTCAATCTTCTAATTCAACGTCTAATAAATTAAAAATAATTAGTGCTTATCCCCGTTTATATATATATTCAAAATTATGTAGGTATGTCTATATTTTTCTTTTCTTCTTTTTTTTTTTGGTTGATATTTTCACAATATTTATTAGACAAATAATGTTTCAATTATGAAATTAATTAATAGCCATTTCTTACCTGACTTTAAACTTAGGTACACTTACACCGACGTATTTCAGCGCCTTCCTAGTTTTCACCCTTTTCTATCCTTCGACCGGGTCCTACTTCCTTGACTATTTCCTTGTATCGCTCCGAGCTAAAGTTGACACGCGAACCCGACTGATTACAGGCTGCGATCATACGTACAAGGACATTAGATTATATACATTTCTTTTTCTTTAAATTATTTTTATTCTCTTTTGCAATCTTATTAACAAATAAGATTTAAATAAGTTTACGCATTGTCAGCTTATATATCAATTCAATAAAATAATACAGAATCACACAGAAATTCGTTAGAAAATTTTTATATAAAATCAGAAGATATAAAAATTTCAAAATAAGAGTTTAACATCTGAATTTTCACACACTTGATATATATATATATATATATATATATATATATATAAATATATATATATTAACGTCCTAATCATTACTAGCACCTTATCATCACATAAATATTAATAAGTTACTTCACTTTAGAACAATTTATTTAAAAATATAAAAAGGTATCTTTCGATCAAACACTGCCGATTATGAACAAACGAACAAAAAAGAAAAATAATAATTAATAATAACAATAACAAAAACAACAACAATAATAGTAATAATAATAATAATAATAATAATAAGAGATGACGAAGTTGATAGTTAATGTCATAATTAAAATTGTACGCAACGTAGGTCACTCGTAGCCGAGGTCAATGACCTTCATAATCTTTCGCACGTAACTCACTACATCCCGTGGACGCGCACTTGATGTATTTCATTAAATTTGAAATGATGAATAATGAGAAAAAATAATAATAAAAAAGAAAATAAATAAATTTGTAATTCTTAAAAAATCAACGTATGAACGTGAATCGTGTGCGAACATCCTTCGTAGTTGTTAATTCATTCGAATGCAAAATTATAGCGGATAACGATACGGAGGTATACATATTCATGCGTCCTTCGACGGTGGCGTCTCGACTCGAAGTGCGTCGCCCCGAGGAGAGACCGCGTTCTCTGGCTTCGCCGCGTCGTTGCCTTCGCGATTCTCCTGCGCTGACCGGTGATCGCCCTTTCCCCTTTTCGTTTCTTCATATTTGTATATGTGTTTGTGTATGTATATGTATATGTGCGTGCACGTGTATGCGTATACCTTTATGCTGTATATATATATATAAATTTTTTGATAAAAATTTGCCTAAAAAGAAAAGAGAAAAAATGAATTAGTAATGAACTTGTTGGATAATTTTGATCTGATGAAAAAATGTAGGAATCTAAATTTTATCTAAAATTATTTTGGATATTTTAAAAATTATTATACATATATATATAAATTGTATACTTTGTATATAATTTATCGAATAATAATTATATCAATATATTTGTATCAATTTTGTAATAAAAATTTGTTAAAAGGAAAAAATTAATTAATATTGAAATTGTGTAATTTTGATTTGATATTTTTCTGATCTAATCGTCATATGAAAGAAATGTGAATTTTTTTGAGGTATCTTTTTCGTTAATGTCTCAGAGTGTTAACGATATTTAGATTTAGTGGTAAGGGTATAAATTACTCACTACTTCTCTCTTTCTCTCTTTCTCTCTCTCTCCCTTTCTCTCTCTCTCTTACTTCTATTCAAGTAAAGAGTTATCGATCGATGGAAATTTGCTTAAGAATTGTATGGTGAACTTGTCGTTTAACTGACCAAGTTAACATTTTTGTGATAATAATAAAAAAAAAAAGTTAATAGTTATTAATAATATGATATGTCTATCTTAGTATACAGTAAAAAGAAAAAATAAAAAAAAATAAAAAAAAATAAAAAAAAATAAAGAAGAAAAAAGAAGGAAAAAAAAAATATATATATATATCCAATTGTAATAAATTGCAGATATTAAAAATCTTTGAAATAATAAAAATTATGTTTTTAGAGATTAAAAAAGAAAAAGATCTTATAAAATTTTTTCGACTTATCGAATAATATATACGCGAAGAAAGAGGAAAATAGTTTTCTTTTTTCTTTTTCTTCTTGTTCTTTTTTCTCTTTTTCCTCGCCAATCGAAACTTCACAATCGGAGATTTATTATACATACTGCGGGTCATTTTACCTTCGTTCTCGCAGAAGTGAACACCTGCCTTGCGTGTCAGACATCCAGAACAGGCTGATCAGATTCGTTCTTCTACCACTTAACTATAACCCCCTCGAGAGTATACTACTTATATATCGAGTTTATCTAGAAATCTCAGTAGAGTTGAAAAAAACAGTATAAATGGTATTTTGTTATAAGATTAAAAAAGATGTATTGATCGGTCGTGAATAACACGTCCCATTTCTTTACGTTCAGTTCACTTTACTTCATATTCCTATAATTTATAAGAAATTTATTGAATATGTGAAATCTTTATTTAAAAAATTATTTGTCCAGCCAATTTTTTTTTGTTTTGTTTCCGTAATATAATTCCCGATTTTTAACATAATTAGAATAATATTTATTCGGAAAAAGAAATCTAAATTGAAAATTAAAAATTCAAAAATTTTCATAATTTGTTCTTTCTTAAATTTTATCGGCAATACAACTTTCTATTTTACTTACACAAATGCAGTTCCATATCTTTACGAGGTTAAACGTTTATTAATATTATTTTTTGTATTTTAACAAAATATAAATATAATAATCCTTAATATTTGTTATTCGTGAGAGAATTTTTCAATACCATAATTAATTTTATTATTTAGTGTTAAAGTTTCGTATAACTAATCCATTATAAAAATATGAAACTTGAATCTATACGAACTAGTTACCATTTAAATTTGATTAGTTGTCTCGTTTTCATTTTCATTATTATTCAATGTATTTCTGAAAAATTATAACACAAATCACAAATTATCACAATAATAATTTTTAAATAAACTTATAATTAAACTTAATATTGTAAAATTAACGTACGCCTCATATTTTACAAAAAGAAAAATCTTTGTAACGGTGTTAATAAACGAACGGAGGAGAGTATACTACATACTCTAGTGTTAAAAATTGCAAATTAATATAACTCAATCTTGTAAATCGGATAGGTCGATAAAACAGAGTTTTTCTGTATACTTATCATCGTAGAATTTTTCTTATCATAAGACGGTAAAACCTTTTCTATATTCAATATAATAATTAAACGATAAAACCGATTGTATATTTGTAATACAGATGACGTTATACGTACAAAAATTTTCTAATATGCGTGATAATTTAAAAAGGTAAAAGTTAGTATTATTTCGTAATAAATCACGATAAGCATTAGAATTGAACGAAGTGAAAGAGTCATTTCACTTTTCAATTCAAAGTATTCAATCTGAGGATTCGATATTTCATTAGAGAGAGAGAAAAAAAAAAGAAAAAAAAAAGAGAAGATTCAAACAAATCAAATAAAAAGAAAAAAAAAAAAGAAAAAAGACTTATTGTCACGGTTGCAAACATATAAAAATAATAATTTGACTATTTCGATAATACGTGAAGTTATCAATTAGTACGTTAGATATAGTAAAACAATGACGTGTTTACATCTTCTTAATAAGTTATAAATTAAGTTAATAAGCGACACATATAAGGATGATAAAAAAAACCGATTGATTCTCTTTATATTTCCTTAGAACGGAAAAGTTATTTAACAATGCTACCACGAATAAGAATGGAAAATTTATGCGTGTCATTCGCGAATAAATACATTTTCCTGCTCCGCAATGCGCTTTATTTTTCGTCAATTACGTCATGATCTTCAAAGTAGGTGAGAGACCACGATGGTGGAGACGCGCCATGGCAAGATGCTACCGAGTGAAAGCATGGGTCAGCGTAAAGGCCAGGCAGCAACATTCTTACTCGATATAGACATACACACATACATATACACACGTATATGTGTATATATATATATATATATATATATATATATATAACACACCCCTGGAAATATATGCGCGCGCGCACATCACCTAACGTATATATATATATGCAGACACAAAGAGACAGTAATTTATTTGTACGGATTGTGCCTTAATGTGTGTGTATATATATATATGTATGTATATGTATATAGGAGTGTACTCTGAAAAGTCTATGAGAGTACGGAAGTCAGTTGAAAATCTAACCTGTGAAACCTGTATTTTTATTACAAACGTAACACAACGTTCGTTTGTAATTTAAAGTTTGCTAAATGCGATATATATATATATATATATATATATATATATATATATATGTATATATATATATGTATACTATATAAATATTATTTTACGCGACAGAAGTGAACAAATATTATGACAACAAGATCACGGTAATTCCCGAACATTTGCTTAACGATTCCCATGAGCAAACGTTTTTTTATTAATTAATTCATCTATTGAACATTTCAGAATTATCATTTATGTTCATTTCATTTCGCACGATTTAACTTGTTCTAGGCATAAAAGACATATTTACAAAAAAAAAGATAGATAGAGAAGATAGAGAGATAGGGAAAGATGGATAGGATCGTACATATATCTTTTGTAATCACACATTACGTGGTCTTACGAACACACTAAAGCGTAGAACTTACAAAATAAGGTAAAAGCGAGTCATTATATACCATATAGTGGAGCAGCGAAGGTAAAAGAAGAAGGTAGAAGAATCGTAACGCTACAGTAAGCAACCAAGCAAGCAACTGTCTGTCCGTCTGCCTACTTACTTGCTTGCAGTCGTGAGAAACTTTTGCTTCAAAGAAATCCTCCTCTTCTCGAAACTTCTCGAATCCATGAGTTAAAAGATAGACAAAAGACGATATCATTTGATCGTTTTCCAACCTACGTATATATATATATATATACGTACATACAATGCATAAATAAATACGTATACACATGTCACATATATTTCGAGGTTATGACAAATACACGATCGTGAATTCATTAAATGAAATAATATAATCGTTAATAAAACTTTTGAATGATAAAGTTAGAATTAATTATGTCGTATAAGCTAAGATCATAACTATAATTGATATTATAATCGCGATAGTTACCAAATAGTGTATACGTTCAATTAACTGTAAAGCATTATCTTATTTTTATATATCTTCTTTCGACATCGCATGTGTGTATAGAGAGGGGGAGAAAGAGAGGGAGGGAGAGAGAGAGAGAGAGAGAGAGAAGAGGAAAAAAATAGAAAAAGAAGAAAAAAAATCATTGCGCACTTTCTCATTCAGAACGTGGACGATATACTTACGTATGTACATAAATACATACGTATACGTACAAAACATCATGTATGTATACACTTATGTATCTATGTATATATACTAGGGAAGCCCTGGACAATGTCCGAATGGCGTCCCGGTTTTTTGAAGGAGGCCGCTGGCTACTAACCTTTCGAAAGTGTTTTTTTCTCTCTGTCCCTCTGTTACGCTCTTCCTCATTTTAGTCGTAAAAAAAGGAAGGTTCCTGTGAAAGTTGCCTTCTGGCTACCACGCGGTTTCCTCCTCCCTCTACCTCTCTTTCTTTCTCTCTCTCTTTTGCTCTCACACATACACACACACATACATCGCATCTTCCTATCGAGGTGCTTCTACTTGTTTGTACGCTGAGTATCGCGTTCGATGTGTTTACCTCATTGCCCCCCTCCCCTTCCCACTCCCCCGTATGTCTTCTGTTCCTCTTTCACGATGATGATAATATAGTATATCTCTTATACATATACTTCTCATGTATTTATATATATATATGTATATATATATATATATATATATATATATATATATATATATATATACATTTGTGATGTGAGAGAGGACACGGAGAGATGCTCACCTCACTATGTGGGATTCCTATTTTCCTCTGATTCGTTTTCTCCCTACACTAAAAGTAAATGGCGTGTCAATGAGCGGTCGCTTTCGCTGGCGCATCGTGCGTGCGTAGAGACACCACACCACCATCGTACCTTCTAACTACTATACTACTATTATTACTACCACTGTAGCTTCCAATTCTTCTTCGAAATTCTTTATCGTATATATATATATGTATATATGTATGTAAATATATATGTGTATGGACATGTTTGTTTTGTTTCTTTAAATTATTATCTTTGAATATTGTTTTCTAATAATATGCGTGCATACGTATTATGTAAGAAGTATGCATGTACCTAAAGACCTGGTGTATTTTTTGTAATATTCTTGAAATTTTGCCAAATATTTTTCTTGTTCTTTCTTCTATGTATTTTATTATCGTCGAATACTCTTAATATGCACTTTGCTATATATATATATATATATATATATCCAAGTGTATAGGTATATTTATGATAATATCAGTTTGCAAGATATTTTTCTTTTGTTATTCTTTTCGAATTGTTCTCGGCGAATATCCGTATATATTCATGTATATTTATGTAGATACAAATATAGATATAAATGTATTTATGCGAATGATATACATATACATACATATGTAATTTTTTAAAAATTATTAGGGATATATATATATTTTTTTTATATATAGTAATTTATATATAGTAATTTATATATGTAATTTTTTAAGAATTATATATATATATATATATATTTTTTTTTTTTACTCGACAGAAATAAAATAATGCAGACATGTTTTATAATTGCATATGTCGACTGCAATTTCTCATGATCGAGCTGTAATTCTCTAAATATGTGTGTAAGTAAGAGGGATATATCTATGTATGTGTGTAAAAGATAGAGATAGAATCGTCTCGAACAAAGGTGAGCAGTGAAAGTGCACTCTTTCCGGAGTGCAGCGTCTTTTGGAAAGACGATCGTGAGAATTTCCATGCGTATTTTCTCGTATAATATATATGTATATACTTCATGTATTCATACAATGTATACAATACGGAAGTTCATTTAAGGTTTTAACTAACCTATCACCTTCCTATGGAAATTATGGGATATTTAAAGACTATGTATTTACATTAGATGAATTGTAAATTTACGGATGAGTAAATTACAATCGATATAGATAATCTTTGTCAATTTATCATAGACTAATCTTTCTTTCTTTCTCTCTCTCTCTCTCTCTCTCTCTCACACACTCTCTCTTTCTTTCTCTATTCTAAAGAGAAAAAGAAAAAGAAAAAAAAATTGATCGATAATCATGGTAAGAGGGGTCGATAGATAAAAAAATAATTAGTCAGTGTGATTTATGTAAAAATACATAAAAAAGCTTTATTTCGCCACCGTTTTCTTGCAAAAAATAAGTATAAAAAACTCCTTCTAAACGTCGTCAGCATCATCATCATTATCATCATCGTCATGATCGTTTTCGTCGTCATCATCATCATTGTCGTCGTTATCGTCGTCATTATTATTATTATCATCATCATTATTATCGTCATTATCATCATCGTCTTCATCATCAGCAGCAGCAACAGCAGCGAATGCTGCTGCAACACAAGCAGCAGCAATGGCAGCAGCAGCGGCGGCGTCGTCTTTGTCGTCATCATAGTCGTCGTCGTCGTTGTTGTTGTTGTTGTTGTTATCGTTGTTGTTGCATCATTAATTATCATCATTTTTGTCGTCGTCATCATCAACATCGCGATCGTCATTATTATCATTGTTATGCTCGTGTATCCGCGCGCATCGTAGAACATTATTATCATATCGTCGTCGTATTGATGAGAATCGGCGCTCGTCGTATTACGCTCGTAATAAGAACGTAGCGTGGTGGGTGTAATAGTGATTTGGTGAACGGAGAAGAGAGTAAGGGCCGGTTCGGCTGTCTTGTGACTAGTATGGGCCGGATCCTCCGGGTGGTCCGTAATTCGAGCTTGGTCCGCTTGGTCCAGTACCACCGATACCTCCCCCGATTCCACCACCTCCTGATCCGCCGTGTCCGTCACCGATTCCACCACCGATACCACCACCACCGATTCCACCGCCGATTCCACCGCCGATTCCGCCGCCAATTCCACCGCCAATTCCACCGCCAATTCCACCGCCAATTCCACCGCCAATTCCACCGCCGCCACCA